GGGTGAGTGTTGGGGGATCCCCGGGTCAATCAAATTGGGCATTTGCCTCCTGGGCCGGCGCCCTCTTCTCTCCTGCTGAGCTGCTTCTGTAGCTCACCAGAGTCCCGTTGTCTTGAATTCAAATCCTCGGCTGCTGCTTGATGAGAAATCGAGCGGAGCTTAAAAATTCCAGCTCTCAGCCACGGTACAGATGTGGGGGGTTTGCATCAGCCCATTACAGAGCCAGCAGCCAGCTGCAAACCCAGCATCTGGCTCTGGCTGCTGGCCTGACCCTGCCCTGGAGCTCAGGGGGCGGTTTGGGTCTTGATGGCCCCGGCTGGCAGCGTGGATCGTGTTCTGTTGGCCCCAGGGCGCTCACTGGCTCTGCCCTGGCTCTGTGCCTGCCAGCAAATCCCCAACGCGCACAAGGACTGGGTCTGCGCCCTGGCCTTCATCCCCGGCCGCCCCATGCTGAGCGCCTGCCGCGGGGGCATGGTGAAGGTCTGGAACGTGGAGAACTTCACGCCCGTTGGGGAGATCAAGGGCCACGACAGCCCCATCAATGCCATCTGCACCAATTCCAAGCACATATTCACTGCTTCCAGGTGAGGGCAGTGGGCTGGGCTAGGCCCCTGCGGCATGGGGGAGGGAGGTCTGACCCCCAACTCACCCCAATGCAGCAGAGCTGCAGGAGCTCTCCAAACCCACTGTTGCTCCCCGCATGTGGCAGGGCCTGGAATGGCGCTGGGAGTGAGGGATGGGAACAGCGCTGGAGCCGGGCTGCAGGCGGTTTGGTGTGGGGCAGCAGTCGGCTGCAGGGCCCCCAACCCCTCCCCATCTAGCCTCTCGTCTCCTCCATCTCTCAGCCATTGTTAGGTCGCCCCACAGTGAGGCTCTTCTGCCCCATCCAGTTATGCCAAGCGCTGGTCCTGCCCTGCCCCGCCATGCTTTTGGGAAGCTCTTGCCAGCTCCTTCGATGTGCCGGGACTAGCCAGACCTGGTGCTGCTGGCCCTGCCACCCTCAGCGCAGAGAACGGACTTCCTGCCAGCCGGGCACCAGCTCCTCCTCGAGGGCACCTTGTGCATCTCCAATGAGAGCACCACCGCCCCCTCCTTCCGCTCCCCAGCCCCTGTGCACAGCCCTGGCCCCCAGAGAGGGCCCCTGGGCTCACAATGTCTCTGGCACCGTCTCTGATCTCCTCTTTTCCGACCATGTCCCTTTTCTCCTTTCCTTTCTCTTCCTCTCTTCCCCCCTCCGTTTCTCTCTGTGCCGCAGTGACTGTCGGGTAAAGCTATGGACTTACGTGCCTGGGC